GCAGCTTCTAAGCTGCTGAAATGACGTATACCATCTCTGAATCATCAAAAAGTCAACAGCGAACATAGATACCTCAGCTTCACAATAATTACTACAAAGCAGGCATTTTAGTTCTCAATAAGAAGAGTTTATTTAGAAGAATTTCAGTGAACAATTTCAATTTAAATACCCCCACTGAAAACAAACCACAACCATTTGATGCTGTGTCCCAAATCAAAGCCAGTGTATCATAGCTGAAAAAAATTACTAACCATTGAAAGTACTGAGCATGTGAGAAACTAGAAAGCAGCAAACTCTAATAAAATGCTCAACATAAAGAAAATCTGGTATTCTCCAGAGTTGATGAAATAAATGTTTCCCTACAATACACAAAGGCAACTTGCAATCAGCGCATCCAATGTTACATCTTTTTTCTTAACAGCATGCCCAGCAGGTAAAAAGAACACTTGATGATGTTTTTGTCTGGCTTTTATTATTCATCTCCTACTGTGACTCTTCGCCTGCCTTACGTGATGAAGATGATCACCTCCAACCGGCTAATACCCCTCATGATATTTCTCAAATTAACTCTCTGATGAGGAAGGATAATCTGAACAATTTATCAAAGGCCACACCAGTTTCCCACTCCTCTGTCAGCGTGAAGCTTCAAACCTAAGCTGAACTTTTGAGAAGAACTTAGAATCAAAATATATACTTTAAACCACCGGAAATAACAAACTGCTCTCTACTACAACTTTGTGACGTCTTTCTAGAAATAATGAGTAATAATTTGTCATTGAGCCTTGAGTTTGCATCAGTCTCACGCAGGAAACTATATTTTAAATCCGTTTGTTTGCATCACTAGTAACAACAGTGCACTGTGTTTCATTTTAAATGAAGCCTGAGTCATGGCTCCCCTCCCCCTCAGATTCCCAGCAAAGTAGCAGCAGTGGGTCAGCCGGAGCAATGGCAGACCCGAGGGCGAGGATCATTATAACATGGCTGTGGTAATTAGAAGAACCACTGAACCATTGGTTAAACTAAAGTATTGTGTTTTATCTGCTCTAAACGAAAGACTCATATCGTGATTCCTTTCGTAAATTTTTTTTCTAAACTGAAAAAGTGTTCAGAACGACTGCTAAAAAAAGAAAAAAATGCCATTTTGGCAAAATATGGGAATAATTGCTGCATATTAACGGTAAATAGAATGGGCTAACAACAGCTCAGTCTATATTAGGCTGTGTTTTGTGTGGCTTTAATGAGAATTTCATTACAATTTGAATATGCCACACAGGAGGATATACTGGTACAGCAAACCTCTGTGAGGCAAACCGAAAGGCCTCTTTCATAAAACTTAATTGGGAAACATTTAAACTCAGTTAACATCCAATACAAACTAATATAACGTGACCCCGACTGCATCCTGTTACAGCCTGCAGACGTCACGAAAGTGTGTGTCGCAAAGTGTTTTTATAAAATGTCTGCTGTAATTTTGGCAGTAGGACAGTTTTGTGAAACCAGGTCTGCTTCAGAATGAGCAGTTTTGTCATGTTTTTCTTACCAAGAAGAGCTTGGAAGAGCTGACTGCCCAGGATAGTGGACACTTTGTCCACACTGGTCTTCAAGGCCTGTTCGTCTGGGCTGGTCAGGTTGGCCTGGTACTGTCTGAGCAGCCCCACCGCCCTCTCTGTGTCTGCATAACAAAATATATGCACTTACTGAAAATGGCAGCAGTACAACATGTTCACATGATACTTCTACAGTTTATAAACTGACATTAAAGTGATTATATTCAATTCAATGTATATAAGGACAAAAAAAAAACTACATGAAGATTTTACTATAAACTAATCAACATTTTAGTTGTTATTAACAATCTAGAATGTGAAACGTAAGCACATTGTGGGGGGAAGGGTTCTGTGTTTTAAAACGTCTTGTATTGTCGATTAATTGTATCTGAAAATTGAGAACAATGTCTTGCAAAACTGGACAATTTCATTCAAATAGATTTTCACTTTTTTTACTTTTTCTGTATTAAATGGATGGATTTGTTATTTCAACTCTACAATCTACAGAAAAAAACTGCATTAAATGTAGGCATTTCCTTTAATGCCTATATAATGCCAATACTTCCATCATCTTCTTTCAGGTGGTCTCCATGAAAGCATTCAACCTTCTCCATCCCACTCTATCGCCTGCATCCATCTCCTCTGTCTTTTTCTTGGCAGCTGCATTTCTAACATCCTCTATACCAATATACTCACTGTCCCTCCTCTGGACATGTCCAAACCATCTGTCTGACCTCTCTAACTTTATCTCCTAGTTGTTCAACCTGTGCTGTACCTCTGATGATCTCATTCCTAATCTTATCCATCTGTGTCACTACCAAGGAGAATCTCAACATCTTCAGCTTTGTCACTTCCAGTTCGTTCTCCTGCCTTTTTGTCAATGACATTGTTTCCAATCCTTACAACATGGTTGGTGTCACCACGGTCTAAAAAAGGGCAGAGAACTCACAAATTGTGTTTTTAACCCAACAAAATAAATTGCATTCTATTTGTTTCTTTGTGTTGTTGAACCCAGTGGGTGGTGAGGAACACATGGAAGAAATTATGCTCATCACAAAAGTAAATTCAAGTATTCTACATTATGAACTTTGTAGCCAAGGGAAAGTCCCTGTAAAAATAAAACTGCAGCCCAGAAGTGGTTAACTTTTTTCATTCCCTGAGGGGGGAAAGTCAGCCTCCTCCTGGGATTACAGCAGAGGTTAAGTCTTGCAACAACAATGAGCATTTAACCTGAACATGTTAAAACCGTGATTTATTTACAGTCAAAACAAAACGGTATGAGGGATACTCACCATATTTATGCACCATCATGGCGTGCGACTCGAAAAGTCAACTATTTGAGATCTTTTAGGACAAACTAATACAATAAGTACTTCCACAACTAACGCGCTTGCTTTTTTTTTTAATTGAAAAACGGATCTTGTTTTAAATCCAGTGGCAAAACGCTGCCATTTTGTCAACGCTACAGCTTCGGCGGTCACCAATATGATCCACAGCCGCTCAAAAATGTGGCAAAAAAGAGATTGTTTACTTCATTTTAACTTTCCAGAAGTTCTGGGGCTTGACATTATCCTCCTCCCCTCACATGCCTCGCCTTTTCGTGGTAAAGAGGTCCGCTGACCCAGCCTCGCTGAAACTGTACCAATAATAAAAACATACAAGCTATGTCACTTGAAGGCACTCTCGCTTGTCTGTTGCGCTATCAACGTTACAATTTTTTATTATTTTTTATTTTTTGTGAAGTTTGTGTTCGTTAATTTTATTACTTTTTAATCAGCACGAAGTCGTCTGGTTTACATTCTTTTGAAATGTGCGCCATCTTGTGGTGCGTTCAAGTAATGCTTAAAAAAAAATCATTACTCCGCCGACTTTATGATTCAGAATGGTTAGCTCACTGGATGAAACCGTTTTCTGATGTGACAGCTCAAGTTATTCAACTTTGATTGCTACTGCAGGTGACAAGTTTGGTGAAAATAAAATTGCGACATGCTAGCAGTTTGAATAAGTTTGCTTACCGGTGCTGCTCAGCCGGCTCCTCATCCCTTCTCGAAGCTAGCGGATGGAGACTACATTAGCCGCTACCATAGCAGCTACAAGCACAACACACCCAAATCTCCACACAACGGTCGGCGTTTGAGTTGAATTGTGGGAAATGTAGGAGAATGGTATACTGTAGCCAAAAATTTATATTCAGGATTTTTTTTATTAATCCAAAACTGTCAGAATTTTTATTTTTTCCTGCTTTTCTAATAGTAAATATCCAATTATAACATGTCTCTATTAAAATTATATTTAAATTGGGTTATTTTCTATCATTTTTGTTTTCAGAAGTTCAAATTAAAAAAATATTATAAGGCTACATGAAAGAACAAGAAGCCACTGTACATAAGCATTTGGCATATCAAATAAATCCAACATTATAAAAATAGCTATTCTTCTCAAAATATAAGATTATTATAATTACTAAAACAAACAGATTTTTTTTTAGTTGAGCATAATTACCTTGTAGTAGTTTGTGTATTTACAAAGTGAAATAAGCCCATGTATGTAATTATGACTTGTTTTAAACCAGCACAGCATAAATATAAATGAGCAAATTCATACAATTTATTTTTATATTTTTACAACAGAAGAAATTAAGTTGCAAACATGTATATAAAAAATTGTCATCTTGGGTTTAAAGATTGTCATGTAAAAATGAAAAAAAGCAGCAACACAGAGTGAAAAGGTGAACTGGGCTGACCTTTTATTCTCAATACTGTTTTTCATTTTGTTTTAACATTTGTTATTTTTTTATGCTATTTCTATAACAGGGTGGTGATAAAACAGTGGGTTCACTACCCAGTCCTTTAAACAGAGTTATAAAGTTTGTTTTAAACAACTTTTGGTTATTTTTAAAATCTCAACCAAAAGAAAATACATTTAGCTTAAGAACCATTTTCCATTTATGCTGGTGCAGGCACATTTTTTTTGTTGGATAAAACAGGGAGAAAGTAAGGACAAAAATCTTTAAGAATTTTTAAATCCCATGCCTGGATCAACAGCAGCATCCTCCCAAGGTTTACCAAGGATTTCAAAACAAAGCCTCATATTCAATGAATATGGAGTTTATGCAAAATCAGAAATCATATTTATTTATGTCAAATTTACAGTTTTTTGTTTCACTCTTCCTCTGAGACAACAGATGGCAGCAGAGTTATATACACAAACACATGTCAGAAGATTAAAAACAGTGTTATTTACTGGTAATCTGGCTCAAATTGCAGACATATATTTCCTGCTGTGGTTTACAAAATATACGTTTTCTATAACTGTCAAAACGCTGAGAGAAAGCTGCTCAGATTTACAGTGTTATTAGAACCTCACATTGTGTATTTTCATTTAAACAGATGAACAAATGGGAAAAATATACATCCATGAATGAGAAAAAAGATAAAACTACAATCTTGGTTTCACAGCTTTGCAACAAAATTATGACACGTGAACTCCTTCCCTGATGGAGCACCAGTCAGTTGTGGTGGAGCAGAAAAACATAAATGGACGCTTTAATTGGGAAAAATCTGCTGCTGAAGACCGTCAAACTGCATTCTGGGTAAGAGAAAAGGTTTCTTTCTCCTCCTTATTGTTGTTGTTTTGTGTCTCTGTCAAAAGTTTAAAAAAAGGGGGAGAAGTTACTTATGTGGACCTTGTTGATGATCAAATATATGCACTTTAATTTACAAGGCAGTCGTAAATGCCATATTATAACCAAAATAGAAAAATCAAACACTAAGTTTAAAACTTTTATTTTGCCAATTAGAAATGAAACAAGTTTTTATGAGTTATCATGAACATAATAATGTTTTCAAATTCTATTGCTTTAATCAGACTGTTTAATTATATTAGTTAAAGATGTTCATGGAAGGTCCTTCAATAAAGTAATATCAATTCTTTCTTCTTTTTTTTTAAATAGTCTGTATATTAAATAATTAAGCAGGTTGTCGGGGATTAGTGCTACTCTGGAAGTATAAATTAAATTTGTTGTACCTTGTTTGTGACAGGAACAGTGAATTTTCCTGGCAGAAAACATTGAAAATGAGACATCAGTTCACCTATCATCATCATCATCAACATTAATATCAAACCAAAAAGAGCAAACGTGTCCGCTTAACTTACTGCTTAAGAATGTAGAGACACATCATTATCAAAATGGCTGAAACATCCACTACAATCCATTTTGTTCTGTAGTCATAAGGCGACTGAAACACACATGCATGCAGGGTTAAAATGCGTCTCACACATTCTAAAAGAAAAAGATGCAAACGCTGCATGCTTGATCAATGAAACCAAGAGGAAACAAACGCCTCTGTATGTGTGTGATGCTCACCATGACCCAGTCAGGATGCTCCATGTTCTTCAGGAGGTGGCAGGAGTTGGTGGTGACAGAGCTGGCTCCTGCACACCACAGCACAGAGAAGAGCCAGCGCTCATTAACGGCCCAAAGGTTCACTGAAATGTTCTGGTTCCGAAGTTCCCTGTCAGCAAATCAGATGAGGTCATCAATATGTTCATTTCTTTATGGGGATGTATGTGTTTGTACTTGTGAGCTGCAACATTAAAACCACTTTGCATTATTGCTGGTTATGTTTTGTGACATATTTTTATCTAAGCTCTATCTAAGGTGGGTGGGATGTGTCACACTAGCTTCTACCAGTGACCTCAAGTTTCCATCCGATGGAGAGTTTAATCTAGCTTGTGTTGTTTTTGTGCTTTTAGGTGTTGCTCTTTGTCTGTAAAGCGCTTTAAATTATGTACACGACTGCTTTATAAAAAGCAGAGATGAGCTAATGTGGCTGACGAATGTGCATGTGCACCGACTACATGTGTGCAGAGATGCAGAAACGGTGTGTTTAAAATTTCATGGTGGTCTTCAGCAGCACTCTTGTTTTTTTGTAGATATCCGTTATGCCATGCATTTAATGTGCTTCACATCTGCTCTGATATTTTTGTTCGTGCCAGTAAAGTTTGACGACACTCAGCTTAAAGTAATCCCAAATAGCTGAGTGTCGTCAAACTTTACTGGCATGAACAAAAATATCAGAGTAGATTCTTGAGATTGAACATCAAATTAATTATGAAAAACAATCAGCATTGACTAATATGATTGTGGTTCTGAATTTCCCATTGTAGTTTATTTTTCTCTGGACCTTACTAGATCTGTGTTTTTGAGTCATTACTGGAAGCTTTTTGAGTTTACTGGTTTTAGATTTATTTTTCCCTTTGTGCTGTTTTTTTTTGTTTTTTTTGTATTTTCTATGCGTTTTATTTTTTTCCCCAGTTTTTCCTGTGCCATCTGCCACCTCAGTTTCTGTAGGATTTTCTAGGATGTTTGAACAAGGCTGAGTGGAGATTATCCTAAAAAACTTGTATTATCTGATAATTCCTTGAATGATCTTAGAAGGTAAGCAACTTCTCTTGCCAATAATGCTGAAATAAAGAACAAGCATGCTTTGAAGTCAAAGCTTTAAACTAAGATCATCTTACGATGAGAAGGGACAGAGTTTAGCTGCTTTGGTCCAACCTTGGAAAAGATGTCATGCAAAAAGTGCACAACATGCGTCCCCACTTGGAGTATGTGCTAAGGATGACTCTCAGCTACTACCACACAAAGTTTTAGTTCAATATCTTCGAAATGAACTGATTTAGAGTCAGGAGTGCGCTGGCTAATGTCAGCTAGCTGTGGTGGCCATTTTGAATTGGGCTGACTCCACATTTTAATCAGCTGTCAATCATCCAGTTATCACTTTCTGAAAGTTTTATTGAAAGCATGCGCTTCAAGCATGGTGACACCAGCTTGCACGTTTTCCTTTTTACTGTAGGTGTACAGGAATCAACAAATGCACCCTTCATATTTGAAGCACCTTGACTTGTCACCTGCACATGTAAACGGTGTCAGTAATATGTTTTAATCAGCACAGGCATGTGGACAGCCTGTCAGAAGAAAGAAGGCAGCAGCAACGGTCCATGTTGCTACCGTACTGCAATGTGGTTTTCTTCCAACCTGTCGCCACACTGACTTTCATTCCTTAGTTGAATGTACATATTTTTGCTGGCTCCCTCATCCGTTTAACAAAACCCTCAGATCGGGACATTGCAGTAGTTGAATCTGCATTCCCTGAAGGACGATCACACACACATGTAAATAAAGTACCAGCACTGTGTCTGGGCATGCTGCACATGCTGCTAATTACCATTGCAGTGTGTACCTCGTGGCAACAGCTCTGTGCAGATTTTATGGGGGTATTTTATTACTGTTCTTTACCTGATTTCCTCTATACTCAAGTCGCTGTATTTCATGTTTAAGTGGCGTCCTCCTTCATCAATCATCTCACTTGTATTTTTGTATATCTGGATGAAACGTGGAGCTTTTTGCTTCACATAGCTTCTGTTTTCTCGAGGTAGCCAGTAAATCTATGAAAAAAAAAAAAAGAATACTTTTAAAATGTTTTTGATTGACAAGGTCTTAATCAGAATCCACACACAGGATCGGACTTACCAGTTGCTGGTCAATGCCAGAATTTAAGATGTCTTGAACTACGATCTCTGCGTCTTTTTCCCCAGAACTATACAAGTCAAAGATCAGTGAGATGGAGTGATTTTTGGCGAGCTGAAGGAGATTGAGCAGAGAGGGTATAGTCTGACTCCTGGCTGTTTCTTTCTCCTCTTCTGACAGCAGGTGCACTGTATGAAAAGGATCTGTCTGGAAAATCAGATCATTTTGTGAGCCTGTATCTTGTTTCTAACTTTTCAAAATAAGAACAAACACATATTTAAGCACAGTCCTCACCTCTATGAACCATCCACCTGCATTCAGAGTGTGCAGTTCCTTCAAAGTCACCGAACTGCTTTGGAGGAAGGACGTGCTGGGGAACTTCTTTTTTACATCGGTTGTTCTGTCCAAAAACCCACCATCTTTGTCGTGCATCAAGAAGGCATATCCGTCTTTACTACAGTAAAGAACACAAAAAATGTCGCAACAATAATTAAAGGACATAGCGATCCGTGAAGGAATGCACATCACCCACCGTCTTTCATGTTTCAGATCAAATTATGAGATTCTTGGAGCTGCTCGAGTCAAATCTTATGCACATTGCCGTACGATGTTGTGCGATGCCACACTCAAAGTATGTGTTGTGAATGACTCTCAGCTACCACCACACTTAATCTCAGCTCATTATCCATAAAAAACGATTGAGCTATAGAACTGTGTTTATGTGTTTTTTTTCAGTTTATTGGCTGTGGCAAATGTAAAACTTGATCTAACACATGATAAAAATTACCAGTACATCCAAGCAGCTTGTACTACTTATTTATTTTCTGACCTGATGCAAAACTGCCACATACTTTTAAATTATCACTTTATTGTGATATCAAATTTTTACTAATCCACTCGGACAGTCACTGAAAGGCTGAATGATCTTAAAGGGGGGAATAATGTCACCCTACCTGACCTGCACATCTGTCTCAAACACCGTCACGCCACACTCGATGCTCTTGCGAAACGACATCATGGTGTTTTCTGGAGCACACTGAACACAGTGAGAACAGGAGAGACAAACACTCAGTGTGTGTCCTGAAGCTGCGCAGACACGTTAAATGGTGCTTTTATATGACCCGGCTTTAACATACACTACTAAAAGGTTGATTTTGTCTGAAAATATAACTAACAGACAATGGCACAGACTATTTACTTGCCGATCCACATCATTTTCAGTGAGCTTTCTTAACCTGCTGAAGGATTAAAAGCAATAAGCATGACCTGCGATTGCAACACATGTTGCCTGCAACACGTCTGCACCTCGTACCCAGTTCATACCAGAAAACGCACCACGCTTATTTTTAGAGCGCTGGTTAAACAGGACGCTCACCATTGGCGCGCCTCTGTGGCCGATGAGTTTTGGTTTTTCAGGTAAATTCTCCTTTTTGATCACGCAAGGTGAGTTGATGAGGAGAGGACAAAGGAAGATGGCAGCTGACACAGCCAGAAATACCACTGCTATCAGGAACTTAGATCCTGAAAAAACAAAGAAGAAAATGTTTATTTATGTAGAGTAAGGAATTCGTTTTTGTTGTACACCTTCTTCTATTCACTATTCTTCTTTTTAATGAGCTTTAAAAGTAATTGAGGTAAGAAAAATTAAATATAAATGTTAATTGGTTGATTTGCTTGTACCAATCTGCATTCCTTATCATTTTGTTTCACACAACCTGCTATCACTATTATCTATTATTTATTATGTTATCTGTGATACAAGATCCTTTATCTCTGAACTGATCTGTACTGTTTATTTCAGATTCACAAATATAAGCACGAGACGATTTACTGTTCTTTTTACGGATTTATAAGAAAAATTTAGTAAATGTCTTTATATTTTAACATTTATGTAAATATGTATATAGTAGTCCCTCGTTTATCGCGGGGGATTCGTACCCTGAAGACCTGTGATAGGTGAAAAATCACAAAGTTGGAATTGTGGTACAAGTTGTAAGTAGTAGTTTATTATATATATACATTATATACATTATATATATATATATATATATATATATATGTGCCAGGAAAATTCACTGTTCCTGTCACAAACAAGGTACAACAAATT